GGGACGTTTCACCGTAGTGGTATAAGTTGAAGTAAATCACCTAACTCAAAATGGAAAAATGGAAATAAAAGTAGCAATAATAAGAATTTTCCGAACAATTAATAATTAAAGTCTCATCCTGTGTGACGTTAAAGGTTGAGTATAAAAACAAAGCTTTCTTATGTAGCAAAAGGATCAAATAATATTGTTGGGAAATATAACATTCAATCGTAATAATATTTCCAATACCCCTGTGTTGTCAATTTTTCAAAATTTTTTCTGTCAAATTAAATAACTAGATAGAGAATAGACGACCTTTTGCCTGCAAAAAGTCAGATAAGGTTTATTTTTTAAAAGATTGTTGTATTTTTAGGATCGATAGAGCAATCGCAACTCGGACTATCAGTGCCTTGATGGCATGGTGACGTCAGTTTGTTCAATTTGAATTGCACTTATTTCAATGGGGCAGACAGCAATTTCTAAACATGTTTAAATTGGCCCACAATGACCTTTTGTATGCAAAAAGCCCGAGAACGTGTTATTTTTGGAGATGCCACATGCCCATTTTTAAAATTGGATTGATAACTTTAGACACCGTTGTACTTAGAAACTTAGAATTGGTCTGTTATGAATCGTTTTGAAAAATTTATGCTTAACATTGAACACCAGCCTAAAGAATAATTGTTTTTCTTAATTTTTCGTAAGTAGTTTGGTCTTTTTCAATAATTTTGGCATGAAAAATAAGTTTTGTTGATGAAAAGACAAATCTTTTTAAAAAATATACATTCCATCGTTGTTTGAACATACAACATACATAGTATTTTTCACTTTCTGGCTAGTGGTTAATGATTACGAAGTGCAAATGTCAGGCAAACACATTTTGTTGTTACAAGCACACAACTTACAAATACAACAATTGTTATTTTAAAATCCATTATTGTTATGTTTAACATTTTGTCACCGCTATTTATTACTATTTATACTTATATTTTTGGCAGAACAAGTGTTATTGTTGAACTGGAGAAACTCTGGTAATTTATCAAAATTGAAGACTTTGAAATATAAGGGTTTTATTTTTATGTTTACTTTTATTCTATTTTTTCTTCCTTGCTAAATTTGAAAAAAACCATCTGACCACTATGAAGCATTTAAAAAAGTAAAGTTAAGTTGTACAGGCTGTCTTTATTTTTCACTTTTCCTTTGGTTTTCTAGAAAGGCTGTCCTTTGGAAGTTCATTAAAGTTTTAATGGTCCGTACACAACAAATCCGTAAACAACAAATACATATAATAAAATAAAATAAAAAGTAGAGAAATCGTTTGATCAGCTATGGATGCTTAGGAAGAGTAAAGTTCAGGTTTAAAAGGACTCCAATCCAAATACCTCTGATATCCAGAAAAATAAAAGACAAGATAAATTTAGATAGATCATTTAAGAAGAAAACAAAACTATGAAGTTAAGAAACTTCTAAACTCTATTAACTAATTAGATTTTAATAAAAAATATATATACAATTTTTCTACAAATGTTGTTATTTTTAACATTATTCTATGTTATTATATTTGTAGATATATTTGGAAGTAAAATTTTAAAAAAGCTGGAGATATACTTGAAGCTAAATTTGAAAAACTACCAGATCAGTCATGGATGATTAGGAAGAGTGAAGTTCAGGTTTAACTTTGCAGAGGACGTTTAACCCAAGGACCCTGCTTAATGTTCACTTTTCCGTTGGTTTTCTAGAAAGGCTGTCTTTTTGGAAGGTCATTAAAGTTTTAGAAATATTAGTAGTCAGTATTTAAAACTAAAATAGAAACGACCAAAATTAACAATGATGAAAGACAAGATAAATATGGATCGTGTGGTGACCCAGAGGAACCACACCACAGACGGCCCTAACCAGGGCCTCATCACCGCCCCTCTCTCACCTATCCCCCCCAGGGTTCTGCCCATGGAGGGCGTCCGCATCCACCGGGAGTAGGGGAAGGAAGATGTATCCGGAAAAGGCGGAGAGAGGGGGCTATTCGTTTTCCTAACCGGAAGGTGGCTGGACGGTGGAACAGAAAAGAAAAAAGGCGGATTACCAAGGAAGAGGACAGAGAGGAAGAACGGAGGAAGTCACCCGGACGGGACCAGCCGAGGACACTGGACCACCTCGGGCAAGGTAGGAAGGCTTCATTTTCTTTGCTCGCCCCCCTATCTCCGGAGAGTTTTTCATTTGATTTTAATATATATATTCGAATGTAAAAGGTAACCATCTGAAAATAAAAATCTTGTTTCCCTACTGGAGGAACTTTTTCACAATCCCGAACCCGGCCTTGCTCCCCAGCTCCTGACTCTAAAATTCGCTACAGGGGAGAAATGGAGGCACCGGCGAGATAATTTCTGTTGCTTATATTTTAAAGGAAAATAGGTGTTATTTTATTTTATTTCATTACTATTACAGCAGGGTTTTTCTTTTGTTATTTTGGCGTGTTTTTCGTTGTTTTTCTTTTCTCTTTTTTCCCTATTCCGTCGGATATTTAGATTGCTTTCGGGCCTTCACGCTGCGTGCTCAAGCCAGATCGTGCAGACCTATTCCTGTGGACTGACGTCATGACCTCGAGGAGGAGAGGAGCTAGGTCAAGTGCGACCAGCGCGGACAAGGATGAGCTTGCCGACCCCGGAAATCACTCCCCGGACCGCGAGAGTTCGACACCGGTTGGGCAACCGGAACACACCCAGAATCCGGATGACAGGGTTCTTACCGTCGCCGATCTTAGGAAACTGCTCGATCCTCAGAACCCCGCCTCCCCACTGTATGAAACTACGACGCAGGTAGCCCGGCTCTCGGCTTTCTTCGAGGAACTGGCAATCAAGGGCCAGGATGTGAGAGACCCGCCGCCGGCACAGCCGACTGTAAGGAGACGGAGGAGAACTACCGGTAAGGCCCAGAAGGGAATGGAAGCCAGGGAACCTCCCACAGAACCCGACCCGGCGACGTCTGGGTACCGACGGACTTAGAGGTGGAGGAGGTTCGGCCAACCATGGCCTCACGGAGTGTTACGGCGGTCGGAGCCCCTTCTCGGCGGAGAGGACCCAGAGGAATGTGTTCGACCTTCCACCCCCTCAGGCCCCGTCGACACACCCGGCATTTACAGTGCCGACATTGCCGCCGTCCTTTCAGCCGCCTTTTGTATCGTCGTTGAGGGAAACCGCCATTCACGAGTTGGGCAAAATGGAGAAGTTGCCCCAGACAGTCGTCGAGTTGGTTCAGGCGATGCCCCCCCGGCTGCTGAACCCGGCGACCCGTTCAGGATTTTTGATTTCCTAACGAGGATTTGGCAAATCGCCCTGCAATCACTTAGACAAGTCCTGTTCCACATAGCGGTAAAGTCAGGCGGTTCGGAAGGCCAAATCCTCCGTGGGATAGCCGGAAGCCCGCATCTCAGTTGGGAGACCCTCCGCAGAGCCCTCGTCGACGACCTCCTATCTGCGCGGGCGAGAATGACCCTAATGATCGAGAAAATTTACCGAGTGCAGGCGGAGGACGAACGGTTCAGCGACTACGTCGATGGCTTAGTGAGGGCGGCATACGCACTAAAGTGCGTGTCGCCTGCGGATGTGATTGAGCTCGCTGTTACACAGGCTAACGCCTTTACTCGAACGTGTTTCTGTTTCCCGTCAGGCGAGCCCCCACGGGATTTGGAAGGATTGTACGAGCTCGTATGGAGGGTTGAGAGAGCCGCAATGACCCATAGGGGAAATGCGGCCCTCCGGCAGAATGATGAATTCGGAGAATACCTTCGCCGGAGAATCCCGAAGGCCGATCACCATTACCAGCCGGCACCCGCTCCCAGATATCCGAGATACCAAGAAAGGTGGAACCAGACTAACCGGCGGGCGGATTTCCCACGGAGAGAACCTTATGATGGCCGATGGCAGGTTCGCTAGGCCCCAAGGCCACTAAGGTCACAGCAGCCATGGAAAGGGCAAAACGAGGGCGCAACGGGTCGTAAATGGAGTAGCCCACCTAGAAAATCCAATGACCACCGAGTGCACGTTCTCCAAGCCTCAGAAGGATCGGGGTCGAGCTCCGAGAAAAGCGGGTCAGAGGAATACCGGCCCAAAAGGCGTTCCCGTGGTCGCCGTAATCGCCGACGAAAGTCCACTGAGGTGAGGACCTCAAAGAGAAGCCGTGGCCAGCAGACTTGGCCGCCGAAGTGGGAAGCTTTAGCCGAACCAGGGTACCAGCTGGTCCAAGTGCCCATAGGCTCCGTCCAACTGGGAGAATCAAAAAACCCGCCGTTCGGGGGTCAGCCAGGTCTGTGCCCCCACACAGTTTTACTGAAACAATAAGTCCTGAGTAACATGGAAAAAAAGATAGCAGCGAAGTTGGCATACCGATACTCGGAGCCGTACCGGATCTCTCGAGTCATTTCCGACGTAACCTACGAGGTCTCCTTGGTCAGCGATCCCACCCGCAAGACTTCAGCCCATACGATGAGTTTAGGGCAAGGGGAATAGAGCAGATTTTGACTTTCATTCCTTTCTCTTACGACTGTCAATTTTATTTTAGTAAGCCTATGAGGAAGTTTTTCTTTTTTTTCTTAGTTATTTAAGTTTTTCTTTAATCTGTCTAGTAGTATGATCGTTAAATTTGTTTTTGTTTGTCCCGGAACAGCCATATCGCAATAGCTGCTGAATCGCGGATAGGAAAACTGAGTACCAAAATGAACTAGTTACGCTTGGGGTTTCCCTCGTGCCTACGAGCGGTCGCCTCGGGTAGCCCCTTTCCCAATCCTTTCATCACACCGTTTCTCATCTGCCTCCAGTGGGTACACCAGAATTTACACACAAAAAAAATATATAAATAAAAAAATAAAAAAACATAAATTAAAAAACAATTAATTAATTAAAAAAATAATAAAATAAAAAATTCACTTAAAAAATGAAAAAAACTCATTTTGAAAAATAACAAAAGGTTACGTTTGAATAATTTAATTTAAAAAGAAATAAATAAAAAGAATATACACTCCTCCCGGATAATGCAATATCATTTAGGGGTAGACGAGAAAGAGATTGAGCCTCCCTACTAATCTAACTCGGACATCCGAGCCAATTATATTTCGCAGACGCTCACCTATCTAGGCACCAAGGAGGACTGCATAACCGGAGCCGACACACAAGGGTCTCAGCCTGATTCCACGGATTTTACACACACCTCCCACATCAGCCTCAGCCGTCGCAGTTGGATATCAGATAAAATCCGGGTCATCGCAGGACAGACCAAAGACGTCGACGGATTCCAAGATGGGTATCTACGGCGTTGGAATCGAAGATCCTTCCGACATCGGCAGCGAAACGGAAGTGGCCAAGCAGGAGGAAGAAGCCCTTTCGTGCCGAAATCTAGGATTTCGCCAAACCGAAGGGGGAGAGAGTCTGTGGTGACCCAGAGGAACTACCACAGACGGCCCTATCCAGGGCCTCATTACCGCCCCTCTCTCACCTATCCCCCCAGGGTTCTGCCCATGGAGGGCGTCCGCATCCACCGGGAGTAGGGGAAGGAAGATGTATCCGGAAAAGGCGGAGAGAGGGGGCTATTCGTTTTCCTAACCGGAAGGTGGCTGGACGGTGGAACAGAAAAGAAAAAAGGCGGATTACCAAGGAAGAGGACAGAGAGGAAGAACGGAGGAAGTCACCCGGACGGGACCAGCCGAGGACACTGGACCACCTCGGGCAAGGTAGGAAGGCTTCATTTTCTTTGCTCGCCCCTCTATCTCCGGAGAGTTTTTCATTTGATTTTAATATATATATATATAAACGAATGTAAAAGGTAACCATCTGAAAATAAAAATCTTGTTTTCCTACTGGAGGAACTTTTTCATAATCCCGAACCCGACCTTGCTCCCCAGCTCTTGACTCTAAAATTCGCTACAATCGTTTGCTAAAAAACCAATATATACAAGATTTTGTTAATGAAACAACAACAACAACAAATACATATAATAAAATAAACTTTAAAGTAGTGAAACCATCTGCTAGGGTTTATTAGAAAGAGAAAGGTACAGTCTTAACTTTGTACAGGACCTCTAGTTAATGAGCGTTTTTTTTTAAAGGTTATTGTAATTGTAGACAAAAATATTGGTCGACAAACTATTCGGATTTTGGGATAACAATTTACAAAGCGACGAATACATATTTGAGGCTAAATTAGAGTCTATCAATACAGACAAGGCCAAAAGAAAAGTAGATAGTTACATCATTCGGCAAAAAAACAAAAGAATTACATTTTACATTGATAGAGGTTGTAATAGAGACCTAACCTTGAAACTATAGAAACCATTTAATCAGCTATGGATAATTAACACGAAAATGTTCAGTGTAGTCTAGAGTCGTTTTGTATATTTGATTTTTCTGTCTTTTTGTATTACGTTTTGTTGTTCGGGTTTTGGAATACAAAATTGAGGAACAACTTATACATTGAAACTAAACTAGAGGCTATCAATACAGAAAAAATGTTAGATCTTTCTTAAAAAACAGTACAATAAAGGATTTCGTTGATAGTGGTTGTAACAAATCAAACTTGAAACTAAAGAAACCATCTACAGCATTTCCAAGTCCTTCTGAACCTGTCTTAAGTTAAGTGTAACTTTGTACAATTCAATTGTTACTCGTTTTAATCCAATTGTACCCGTTTCCAATTCGATTGTTACCCTTGAAAACTTTTTGTCCGACCGCGGTAGCCGAGTGGTTAGCATGAGAGACTCTCACGCCGCGGTCGTCGGTTCGATTCCCACCGTCGCCTCTGGCCCTTTTTTCCCGATAACCCCCAATTTGAACACATAAGAATTCGTACTATGGCTAATATGCAAGATCATAAGGCCAATAAAAAAAATAAAAAATAAAAAAAAACGTACCTTGAATCAGTACCGTATGTCAATTGTTGACTAAAACATTTAAATTAAACGTTTGTTAATGTTCAGTTGAAACTTGAAAATGGAAAAATCTCACAGCTTGTTATTGATGAAAATGAAGTGTTAAGTCAGACTAAGCTAGAGCTATAAGCCTAGCCTAAGAACCATTTTTTCTCACTTTGCAATTTTTTTCTCTCTTCGGCTGCATTATCGAGGATAATAGAATGCGCTTTTTTTCTAATCCTTCTTCGGCTCTTTCTTAAGGACAAAAGCACCATGGAAAGGAAAAGAGGGTAGATATGAAAAAAGAGGGCCCACAGGTTTTAATTGCTTCTTAACGATTCTACCAGTCACCCCGTTATTTTACCCTCACTTTATACGTCTTGTAATCGTCCGATAAATTTTATGAAAGGGGTGCGGTCATAGTTTCCCGAGGAATTTCAAATTCAATTACAACCTGCAAAATAGCAGGCCGTGCTATTAAGCCATTAGAAAAACAAATGACTACCGGCACATAAATATTAAACGATTTACATAAACGGTCATTTGTTAGAAAAGAGGGGCTTACCTTGTTTTGACATGGTTGACTTTTCCCGAAACGCCTGCTCACTCCAGATGTTGCTAAGAATCAATTTCAGACCTAGAATGAATCATTTACAAATTAAATTACTTTTAATAAAATTAGGAATAGATTTTTAAAAATCACTAAGCGTATAAATTTTAGTTAAGAAATAATCTGGAGTTGCTTAAGAGTCTTATTAAATTCTTTAATAGCTGCTGTCTTATCTGCTGTCATGAGCTTGGATGTTCTGTCAATTAAATATTCCTCTCAGCCCCAATACAAGATTTAAATTTTTATCTCAATAAAAAAGATCAAATTGACTTTAGAAACAAGATTTATTTAGAATGGACGTTTCTGCAGCAGCTGTCTAAAAATGTGTTCTGTTTTACTTAAATATTCTTAGTGTTCACATAACGTCTGAGGTCGAAGAAATACCATAAACGAATTAAAATAAAATGGAATTGTCATAAAATTACTAAACTTGATATTTCATTTGAAATACAGGGCAAATTTAAAAAGTTTAATTTCTGCCCCCTCCCATTTTTTGGAAAAACCTCGAGACACGTAAACGTTTATTTCTTCTTTAATTTTTGATAAACCAAAAAGTTTTGGTTTATCAAAAAACGCACATTGATCAATATCTTGCCATTTGAAATAGATAAGTTACTATCGGTATCCCGCCACCCTAGAGAGTTCGATCCAAAAGGTTTTGTGTCAAAGAAAAAGTAGTTAGAAAATAAAAATTATTATTTATTATACGTATACTATAAGTCGAACAACGTAAAAACAAAATTCAAATAATTATTCATTTTATAGGTAAGGTCTTAAGTCTTAACCTTCGGCTGGGTTCGAATCCCGCTCGTGACACTAACGTTTTCATCTCAACCAAGACCTTACATAAAAAGAATAATTAATTGAAAGAAATAATTTGGTCAATTAGACCACACTAAACAAAATGGATGTAAAAACAAAACTTTTCTAAGCTGGGAAAATTATAAATTGTTCAGTGGTCTAATGGAAACTAGTTTGCTGTTGTGAAAAACCAAAGATTATTTCGAAAAAATTGTTTACTTATTTTACTTGTACCCTATACATATTAATACATATTATATACGTGATCACAAAACTTTTTCCATTGGCCATTTGAAACCAGCCAATGCTGGCTTCAGTTGTAGACAGGGAAGTCGCGAGGCCATCGTCGATTAAGGCGTCATGGCCAGTTCTCGGGATGGGAATGTGTAGAAAGGGCTCGAGCAGTTGGATTAGGATGGACGATTTGTTAGTGTGAATTTTTTTTTATTCAAGCATAGATGAGTTAGTTGACGAAAGGAATGTTGAGATCGTTGTGGATTGCAAGGAGCTTTGCACTGATTTGTTTGAGGACTTTGGATAGCTAAAATTAGATAGCTTGGAAGAACCCCACAGTTCTACTCACTATGTCCAAAGTGGTTGTAGTAAAAGTAGGCTAGTTTAGTGTTGACGGTCAAGACGGATTTGGGTCCTAGAAGTCTTCGTAGATGGCCAAGTGTTCTGAATAGTTTTCGTCTCTTAAGTCTTGTGGGGTGATTCTATGCCAGTCTGCTGTCTATGTATAGTCCTAAATATCTGACTTGCATGGAAATCCATATCTCTTTATGGTTGATTTACAGTGGAAGGCGACACTGTTTTTTCAATGTCAACGTACACTGAGTACAGTTTTCTTCATTCAGCCTTGTCCTCCACTTTTCCACCAGTCTTCTATAAGCTCAAGGTGATCTTGGATGTTGGATGCTTATCGATGTTTGGATATTCAAGAAAAAAATATTTTCTTGAAGATTCGAGGATAATGAACTCGACAACCTTTTCTTTCTATTCCTCCTATTTTTCTACTATGCATTTCGGTAGCGGTGTCGTAGAGATAAAAAGAGTGAGATGTTTATAAACTCCCCAAAGGTCATTACAACATTGCTGCAGGATTTAATTTAAAATGTTTTGTTATTGTAATATAAATAAATTTTATTACTCTTTATTGTACCGATGGAGAAAGAAGCCGGGAAGATGGCCCCGAATTGCATACCGGAAAAATAAAAGGAATAGAAAAGAAAAGTTTGTCGAGTTCATTACCCTCGCCACGAAAACCTCTTCTCTACATAAATCGAAGAAAACACACACATACATACGTTTTATGTATCTTTTTATATTTTGTATGAAAAGTTTTGTCATAGTTTCTTCTAGAAACACCTATCCTAATAAATTTTTTGTTTTGAAAGGATGAGTTATATTTACATTATCTTTAATATTTCGTACCCCAAATTAGCTAATATCTTTATTCCCAGATCTTTGAACCTTTAGCTTATTAATAGATGTATTAATTCTATGAAAAACAATTTTTATTGGTCAGTAATCTACATTATGTGATTAAACGATAGCTGTTTTTTGTTTGCAGCATTGCATTCAGCTAATTAATAACGACAAACTTATGAATTTGCTTGGCATACTCCTAAAAAAGAGAGACATGAGATCTCGATAAAACCTATCTGCAATTGATAATTTGGATATTTTAAGTTTGTTTGTCATGTCATTAAAATGGTAGTTATTGATCGCATTTTTGGTAAGATTTTAATTTAAAAAAGCCTAATTCAGAAAGAGATTACACTTTACCACATTGGGGTAAATAGATAAAAAAAGTCAGTGTCACGAGCGGGATTCGAACCCACGACCTTCGGCTAGATACTCCGCTACTCTGCCACTTGAGCTATCGTGACTTCGATCACCTCGGGCACTAACTTCCCATCTCAACCCCACCTTTTGAATTTTCCCTCCTTTTTGCCATTTTTCAAATGTCGTGTAATCGGATTGGATTCTCGGCGACAAATGAAATGGCCACGGAGAGCTTTAGTGAAGTGTACTTCATTTCAATTGATGAATTCAATATTAATTAATTCAATAATAAAGTAGAGAGAAAAGTCAGAAAGCTTACTAAATTTCATGCCAAATTTCATAAATTCCGTATTTTGTATCGTTTTTTTCTCTTCGGCCAATAACTGATCTTACTCAAGACTAATTCACCGAAATACCTTGGCTGCAGTTCCTAACCTCCTTTTCCAACCTGGGTTGGGACCAGCCACAGCGGAGTTAACAATTAATCATGACTATTGCTATCTGGGAATAAAAAGGTTAAATAGCAAATCAAAGGAATTTAGGAACTAACGCTGTTTATTTTTCGTTTCCAGACTATTGTTGGGACAAGTCCTTTCTTAACTGGGTTAAACATTTACTAAAAACTCAAATTTCAATTTCTTAAATCTCAAACTTCCATTTCTTATAAAAAGGAAGAAAAAAAATTCATGAAAATATTACAACTGTTCGAAATGTCCACCCTGTTGAAATATGCAAGCCCCCGATCGCCTCAACCGTTCATCGCACACAGCACGGCCTACGGCTTCCCTTTCAAGATAATGAGAAGCTTCTACAACTCTTTTCCTCAGTTCCTCACGACTAGTGATGGGTTTCAAATCCCTACCGTAAAAACTTATGTAAAATATTTGCAGTAGAAGGCAAAATAATGTGGTTTCGACCTAACGTCTCAATTCATACTTTTTTCCTTTATAGAACCGCAAAGGAAAAAAAAATGGGATGGGTGCATTAGCTTGGACACCCTGTATATTGTGGTTGCGCAAGTATGGCCTTTTGTGGAACGTTAATGAAATTAAGGTTTTATTATTAACTATGGTTTTTAGAGTAATAAAATTACCATTTGCCAGAAAAATATCGCACTTTTGTGTGTTTTTATTGGACAATGTTATGCGCAACGGTTGACGCGGCGACTCATCACTGAACCAAGAGTACTTACAATTTTTTTTCTTTTAAAACCACAACCATGGGATTGATAGGACCTGAGCTGGTGCGAACCTCTGTTACAAAGCAATGATTTTCAACGGTTGTCAGGGGACCGATTCTTTCTTAATTTATTTTCTCTCTTTCCCTCAATTTCTTACTATTCTTCTCATCCATGCACTCTATCTATTCATTTATCTACCTACCTATATATCAGCCATAAACCAGAATTAAATTTTTCACAGTGCGATAACTAAATAAACGTTAATCATGACACTGCTGGCTGTTTGTTCCTTTGAAAAACAACTGTTTTGAACAAGAGTATAATTTATTCGTTTTAAATAATAACTGCCTTCGTCCGTCAAGCATTAATGATCTTTATCAATTTGCTATGATCTGGCTGATGACCCACTTCGAGCGGGTCAGAACAAATAATTTAATTTGTTGAAATGAAATGAAGCCAATTGGGGGAAATTGTTGTTTTCGGTTAGAGATCTGCCAGAGATAAAGATACAAAAGATTGAATCCTTTTCTTCACCACAAGCACACATGCACGCACAATTCACAGACACACAATTAAGCAAACTCACATACTATGTACTATGTTTATGTCTCCCTACACTCTCTATTTCTATCTCTGCCTTTATACCTGTCTTTGTCTATTTTTCTTTCTCCGCCTTTTTAATTTTTATCCCTGGGCATTTTGTGATAACAAATGTTCATGTTTAAGATATCAGGTAAAAGTAGTAATAAAAATATACGACTACATAGAAAATTCTAATAAATTTCTTGGCCCTAAACCAGTAATTTATCAATTTAATTTAATGATTTAATAGCAAACGGTTTTTGCAGAGTAACGATTCTGTTTTTACATAAAAATAACCTGACTGAGTTTTTCTTTTGCGGGCTTTTTATATTCTTTAGTAATGTTTTAAACTGAAGAAATTTTCAAAGCATTTTGATTTACACCGAAACACAGCCTTCGGAATTAAAGTAAATTAAAGGAAATCATGGTTCGGCACATTAGACGAAAGTTTAAATGATAAAGGGAGAATCCTTGCAAATCCAAATGATAAGGTAAAAAATCACGGTGAAAATATTTGTTTGAATTGTTTAAACAACATTTTCGTACATAAAAATTAACTCAAGCAAATCAACGAAAGTGTTTTTAAAAGGAACTTTTATTTAACTAACTAAATAGAACGGTTGAGACGTTCTACTTCTTCGTACAGTCAAAGGACATTAAATATATTTCTGTAATGTTCTGCGTCAATATCCTCCCTGAACGTCCCTCTTTCTGGACTTCAGCGTTAGTGCTTTCAATAAATCAACATCTTACACGCCGGTCGAAGTTAATATGGGGCTGTGGATGGGAGTGATTTTCACGTGTTCGCACAGATACGTGCGTTCGGAATCGGAGATGCGTAAAACCGTAAAGGTCACCGTCTGAACTTTCAAACGTATCGGAATTAATGGTAAACAAAGGGTTCCTAGCAAAACAATCGGAGCGAATAAGAAAAATAATTATCGATAGGAACGAATCGGTTCCTGTCTACATCTGTGAACAATTTTGCGTTTAATGTGGAATTAATTAAGCCTTAAGGATTTTTTTTACCATCGCAAACCTTGGTGTTCAAACAGAGATATTTGTCCAAATATCCAAAATTTAACAGAAAGGAAAAACAATTATTTAAGGTTTTTAGTTGAGATAAAAAGGAGGGAAAATTCAAAAGGTGGGGTTGAGAGGGGAAGTTAGTGTCCGAGTAGATGGAGGTCACGATAGCTTAGGTGGTAGAGCAGCAGCGTATCTAGCCGAAGATCGTGGGTTCGAATCCCGCTCGTGCCATTGACTTTTTTATCTCAACTAAAAACCTTAGTTAATTGTAATATATTAATTGGTAAAACGGACCACGAAATTAGTGAATTTAATGAATTAAAATGAAGTATACTTCACTAAAGCTCTCCGTGGCCATTTCATTTGTCGCCGAGAATCCAATCCGATTACACGACATTTGAAAAATGGCAAAAAGGAGGATAAATAGTGGATCGAAGTCACGATAGCTCAAGTGGTAGAGCAGCAGCGTATCTAGCCGAAGATCGTGGGTTCGAATCCCGCTCGTGACTTTTTTATCTCAACTAAAAACCTTAAGTAATTGTAATATATTAATTGGTCAAGCGGACCACGAAATTAGTGAATTTAAAGAAAGGAAAAACATTTATTGATATAATTAATGAATAAAACATCGAGTTAGAACGCTTTTATGGCTTTCACCGCTGCTTCTTCTGCGCCTGCCAATTATTTTGTACAGTGACAATAATTAAAAGTTACAAACGACATGTTTTTGTAATAAAATTTTTTAATTACTTTTCTGGTTTTATCGGCTTTAATCACTACTATGTATAATATAAATTGCTAATTATTTCCCCTCGATGAAGAAATTTCATTTGTTATGTTGTTCTATCGTAATACATACAACTTTGTTATGCAACGTTGGGCCCAATAATAATTTAATGAAGTAACTACAAAGTCATTCCACAGTACCTGAGAAAGACCTGACCTAAATGCAACATCGAGGAAAATTGTGTTGTTTTATTAATTAATAATTAATTGACAGATCAAGCGTTCAAACAACTTTAAGGTAGTTACTTCGATGATCGTTTAAAATAAATATATATCACGGAAAACCGTAAAAATGAAAAAAAAAAAATCAATGATGTGGCAGTAAACTGGTAACCAATTCAAGTGAAACTGTAGACTGTAATAGTTAAGAATAATAGTATTTTTGTGTGTGAGTGTAGTACATTTAATATCTTGTGGTATAATAATTAGTTCTAATTGCAGTTTGAATGTCTGCGTCTGCCTGTGTATCTCTGTCGTGTCTGTGCTCTTTCTCTCTCGCTCTCTCTCTCGCTCTCTCTCTCTCTCTCTCTCTCTCTCTCTCTTTATCTATCTTTCTACCTCTTTATAAATATCTATATGGCGTAATCTTTTCACCACCTTTCCCCTCTCCCTCAGTAGCATTATCTAATATATATCATTATCGTCTTCTCATTTTCTCTTGTTCCCATTGCTCTCATTCTGTTTCTCTGTTTATCTGTCCTATTAATGTTTAATCTATCAAATGATTCCGGTTGCTCATTCTCATCTCTCTCTCTCTCTCTATATATATATATATATATATGTACAGAGAGAGAGAGAGAGAGAGAGAGAGAGAGAGAGAGAGAGAGAGAGAGAGAGAAAGAGAGTGATGAGAATGAGCAACAATATCCACATCATATTCATGTGCTATGATAACAAAACTTACTTTACTCCCATGGGAAGGAATTTATTTTTTCAATTTTGTCAATTATAACCAGAGCTGTTATAAATCAACTTGAGGATCAGGCAATAATTTCGTGATATATAAAATATTTTAGATACTTAGATTTGAATTGTTTTTAGTCAGTGTGAGCAGTGATTTTGAAAACAAAAAAATTAAACTTCACTTTGTACGTAATTTTTACTGTAGAACGCCACTTGCCAAAATTGTTTTTTTCTTTTCCTTACCCCTCATCCATCATTAACCATAAGGAATATTTCAACCTTGGAGGTGGTTGTTTGAAAATTGCCCGTATCTGCACTCCGCGGTGCCAATTGGCGGTGGGAAAAAAATAAACAATTCGTCAAAATTGATGCGATTACGGTCGAAACCATTTGCGGCTCCGTCTCGCCGGAAAGCACATATCGCGAAAGGGGCTCAGAGGTCGTTTTCAGTCTGTCTGCGTCTAATTTCGTTTTCCTTCTCTCTGTTTCAGATCTTTGAACACCGGACCCGGATGACGTGAACTTCAAGTGGGAACGAGTTAAATAAATTTGTGCTGTTGGGGCCAAAAAACCAACATGTAAATATACAAATTTGTTTGATATATCGAGAATAGCATCGTTTAATCCTGCTATGTAAACCCCCCCTTCTGAAGTGTGCGTGTAAAGCGTGCAAAGAATATACTAAATATAAGAAAAATAATAATAATATTCATAAAAAACTGATACAAAATTGTCACTGGTGCATCAGTTTTTTAAAATATTAAGATGTGTTAAGAATTTCTGATAATTGTTTTTATAGTTTTATATAAAACTGAAAATGTCGATGATTGAAGGACCTTTTTTTACAGATAAATATATATTTTTTTATCTTTCGCATATAGAAAGTATGTACATACAAAATAGTTTGAAAATTGAGTATTGTGAGCTCATAAGATTTTAAAAGGAATTCAATAACAAGGACGTTGCTTAACAACAAACACTCAACTTGGCTAATTGTAGTGAATAGATTTCAGTAATCATCAGCCACAATTTTAGAAAAAGAACACTCAGATACCTACAAACAACTCTCCCACCAAAAAACCGAATGCACCCACAACACATCACAACATAAATTCAGGCATACAAACGATAACTCGGACATACAACCAACACGATAACGCACACCAACCACAGAAATAATAACACACAAACCCAAACTTAAAAACAATAAATAACTCAGATTCACAAACAATATTCAACATCACCAAAGCTTAAAAATACAAATAACATACGCAGTAACGTATCACAAACACAGTACAAGAAAAACCCACTAATGTACAAACACACTTATAAGCAAAATACACATTCTCCTTACCTTTCTCACTCACTCACTCTCTCTCTCTATCTCTCTCTCTCTCTCTCTCTCTCTCTCTCTCCACACACACACACTCTATCACTCTTTTTTTGTTTGTCTCTTTCTTCAGCCTTTGACTTTTTGATTAAATCAAGATCAATCAATCCTTCCTCCTCCCTTCACCCTCACTCTCGCTCCTTCCTCTCACTCTCTCCAGCTCTATCCTCCCTCTCCTTCAATGGCACAATGTTCTTTTACTTTTTTAATATTAATTTTAGCATCCTTCTAACAAATTATTAACTATTTTTAATCTTTAACTTAACATTTCTATCCGTCAAAATATTTATAACACACTGCACGACAACAGTCACCGCAACCCAAAATAGAGGACTCCATCGGAAAACACCGATAACAATAACCCACATTCTTTACAAATATCCACCAATAACCAAATCAAAACTAAACAAAACATGTAACCGCATATTTATACAATTTAAAAAAATATGCAAGCCAAATTTCCTATGTGTTAACTTATCTTTAATGAGATCTCATTGACATTTATTTAAGTTTAATATTTATTATTTAAAGATTCGGAGGACCAATTACAAATTAAAAATGGTAATTTGCATAGAGGCATATAACCTATATTTTTTTAATACGAGGGTTCGCAACAGCAGAGGTTATATCAACCCTCGGGATGCCGGTGTTTCTGAAAAAACCCCATTTGTAAGTATATATGTCGAGTTCGAATGCAGGGCCGCTGGATTCGAACCAGGGACCTTTACCTTACAGTGATGAGCGCCGTGTCAACGCCTAAACCGTTGCGGCCACCGACGCCCCCTCTATATACGTATTAATCATCTTTTAATTTCTGTTCCTCCTATATTTTTTTTATTGTCGCGTTTGGTGAAAAACCCCGAGAAAAATAAACTTTTATGTTTTGTCTAATTTCTCATCAACCAAAACGTTTTACTCTAACTCTCCAACCTGAGCGCCGGTGTTTTGGAAAATAAAGCCCATTTGTAAGAGTGTTGGGTTTCATCGAATTCAGGGCCACTTGATTTGAACCCTGGACTTTTACCTTACAGTGATGAGCAACGTGTTAACGCCTTAATAGTTGTAACCACCGGCTCCTCTTCCAAACCGATTCACAAAAAAACTGTTTCCAAACTATAAAAGAGGTATAAGTCCTTTATAAATGTATATCTATGTAGGATTTTTTTCGTTACTGATTAGTCGGATGAATAAAAATTGTGTTTTATCCATTTACATTTCAAACAAACAATCTATAATAATCAATTTATGGTATAATTTAATGTATTTTTTGTGAAAATAAGCTTATGCTTTTGACAGACAAGAGCCTGCTTGCTTCCGTTTGTTGACTGAACAATTTGTAATTTCCCAGGTAAACAATATAATTGTTACGTTGTACAACTTTCTGTGCACATCGTTATTATTTATTCCCTCAATTTTTTGTGAATTAATTTACCATTAATTAAAATGATAAATGAATTGTTCATTGAATGAAGAAGTTTGAAAAAATTCCGATTTTTCGAAATACGAAGTTTGTTAACTTTTTGTTCCCGATTTTTTGATGAAATAGGGCTGGTTTATACTGCATTGCATACTGGGTGAGTTTAACTTCTGCCCCCGTATATATCATTTATATAATTTTTGTGAAAACTCCGAGACTCGCAAATTTTAATTTATTGACTAGTTTCCTTGTTACAAGTTTTGATCTAATTCTCCAGGGTAACCGGATGGTAAATTCGCTTTTTCAAGTAATAAGGTACTCATCGGTTTTAGATTTCAAACAACCCTTCCAAAGATATTCGCAAAAACTGCTTCCGAGCGTTGTTTTTCGGAAAAACGAGCTACATCCAAAGCAACCTATTAAACAATTTTATTTGAGAAAATTGTTGCAAAGTTTTAAAAGATTGGAAACAAATCATTTATCAATTAAATTTATAAATAAATAAATGGTGATTAGTTACAGAAGTTGGGGAAGATTTCGATAAACTCACTCTGTAAATGTTCTGTGCATTGTAAAATGACCTATATCTCTTTGGACCACTGACCTTGTAAATTGCGACAAGCGTACCTATTGGTGATAGATAGCTTGTTGAAAAATGAAAGTCAATGAAGTTCTGGAATGATATTTTAGCCTGTTGTGCAACGTTAATGTATGTGTTGTTCTTAGCATTGTAATTATTTGATGGAAATTATCATAACGCGAACATTCGAGATGCAATGTGCGACATTTTAACGACCTCCTCACGTAAATGGTACCGAACGATGAAACCGAATCGGGACATTAATAAAAACCATAACCTTTCACTTTTGGTCGTGAAGTGAATCTGAATACTTCGGTAAACGTAATCGGACGACCGTCAGTTTCTCTCGGTTCCTTTTCAATATTTTCTCGCGTGAATGAAAAAAAAGCCTCCAATAAGAAATTTCCCAGTGTCGACCTAAAGAGAAAGCCGAAGGTCCCGCTCTGAACCGGTCGCGTGAAACAATTGAAAAGCAGTTTTGTTTGAAACCGGGATGGGCATATTGGACAGGAGACGGTCGCCCTTGGCCGGCAATATAGGCTCGCAACTACTTTCAATCTACATCATTTGAGTGCAACTCACCTCCCTCAGATTTAGGAGATTTAAACGATTTAAACTACATGAGTGGATGAGTTATGTACGTACGTTTGAAATATCTATAACCAGTTTCACGATAAACCGTCACGTTTCGAGGCGTGCATTAGGCGGAGGAAGAGACCAACTCACTCCTCGTGTTTTGAATTCTTTATTGAATCTAAAGATAGTAACCGTCTTTGACAATTACGACCCGGTCTAAAAATTGCTTCTCCGGACCTATAACAATACCAGGAACTTTTTCTATCAAGTATTAAGCTATTACCTCCTTTTTTACGACCTACTAAAAGTTATTTTTTGTTACAACAACATCAGTTGGGTTAACAGGTTACAGGGTTATGTCACTCTCATAAAAAAAGGAAAAGAACAGAAGAAACTGTCCACTGGTAGCGAAACAAATGTAAAGACTTATAATTTGTTTTATGCTAATCTTGGAGAATAAAACCGAAAATAGCCCATTGACTATATACTTCAGAAATAAGAGCTAAAAGCTTATGGCTCACTAATCTGAAGAACCAAAGCCCAGCAAAATAAGCATAACCAAATATTAGGCAGCACAAAGACTGGCCTTATGATTTTTGCATATTAGCCATGACGAATTCTTATATATGTTGTTCAAATTGGGGGTTATCGGGAAAAAAGGGCCAGAGGCGACGGTGGGAATCGAACCCACGACCGCGGCGTGAGAGTCTCTCATGCTAACCACTCGGCTACCGCGGTCCCCTAGAAGTAGTTACATTGGCAAAAATACCCTCATAAATTAGCACCTACCTATTAAAGCGTTACCATTAAAAACATCACATCAAACTTTGTCAGTGAATGCAAATAAAATCTCCAAAACTTCGTGAAACACAATAACTTGATGGTATCTCGGGTACGAAGGCACAAAGGAATTCGGGGTAACGAAAAAACAGACACATGGCTAAAGCAGGATTTTTTCAATTTTTCTGCAAGACCATATATAAGCCCTGAAATTATTTTTAGGATAACAAAAACAAATAGAGAATCCTCCATAGAGAAGGTAAAAAAGACAAAAGGAGAAGTAGATAAACTCTAGGGGCATTACACACAGTAAAATAATCCCTCACCAAGACTGACAAACTCACTGCTACAGTTAGAGGGGGATAAACCCAGAAGAATGACTATTTACTTATTTACCGGTCACTGACATCTGAAAAAACATCGACGCAACATGAGTATATTCAACCTATTTGTACCTGGGCTCCATTTGTACATTATTTCAATGAGGAGGAAGAAACAGCCACCCATATCATCTTCGGATGAGAAACACCCGCTCAAGCACGACATAAGCCGGGATACAGAGAAAACCAAGGAGAAGGAATGTAGCAAGGGCAATCAATGACCATTAAAAGAACTCATTAAAAGAAAGATCGAATCGAAATACTAAACACAGAAACTAGAAAAATGACCAGAAGTCTGCAGTGCTAGAGAAATATCAACCCCTCTCCCTAGTCTCCTCTTATCATTATTTATGCAAATGGTTATTTCTCTCAATGTCACTGATTAGTACATCTAAAGGCAATCGTATCCTTATTATCCTAGCAGGGTTGAGAAGAAGATAGCGTAAAATTTGAAA